TTCCTCCCCCCTCCCCTTCCACCACAACAGACTTACCAGGTGGACACAGCTTTTCAATTTCCAATACCAGCCCGGAAGCTTGGATTGGTATCAGCTGATATACCACCTTAAAAATTGGCTATTGGTATTGGCCCCAAAAATCTCTCAGTGCACCCCTAAGTACTGCTCTCTTAAGTATAGAGAGTGTTCATTATGCTGCTGTTATCCAGGGATTTCAAAGAGCTTTACAGGCCGTAAGGGATTGTCTGCGCTTGAAAATTTACCTAAATAACTGTTTAGCATAGTTACTTCAGTGCAGTCCCATGTGGCGATTATTTTGGAATAGCTACTTCAGTAAAGTCTAGTGTAGACAAGCTCTGAGGCCTAGATGTTGCTATACACTGGGCATGTCTACATGTGCATTAATGTGCCTTTTGTAATGTGCATTAAATTTAGTATTAATGCGCATGAAATTTTGTATCTCCAGTGTGAGGTACTAAATGCGTGTTAGGCTGTGCTAATGAGCAGTAGCATATTTGCATGCTTTTTAATGATGCTTAACGTGCAGTGGACTATTTTATTGTGCATTAGCGTAATGTCATGGTTTTTCACGTGACGCTTTTAATGCACAGTAAAGTAGTCTAGCGTATGTAATGCGCCCACTGAGCCTCTTGTGGAAGAGGTGCTAAGCAGGTGGGAAGTACAGAGTATGATGAGTTTAACAACCCCTTTTTTCCTGTTGAAATCACACTTCTGAATCTATGAATTCTATTTTTTGAAACTGGGATGTTTGGTGGAAACGCACCTATTTCAATCAATACTTGTCAAGAAGGGGACAAAGTGAGCTATCCTCCCCAGCAGCCTGCTATTACAGAGTACTCATGTCATGATATGGGTATCCCTGATTCAAAGTAGGAATTTATATCTGGGTTGTGTCTGTCAGGATTAAACAGCATATCTCAGGATGGGGCATATCTAGACCAAATTCAGATGTCACAGCATCTTTGAGTGCTGCAGCTAATTCAAACTCAGCAGATGAGTGTTTTCCTTAAACTAACTTTCTGTAAATAGGCTTTGAAGCACAATATTTCCCATCAGTGCCTTCTTGGCCAGGGTGTGGAGGGTGTGTGTGTGTGTGTGCATGCACATGCTTGTGTGTTGGGGAAGAAATTAAAAGAGCATTAATAAAATGGAATGAGGCTATTCTGTTCTTGTCTGCAGATGAATGGATGCATGGAGAAGTTAGTTCTCAAGAGTGGCCTTAGGACTTGAAGGAAGATTTTCACTTTTTGAAAGCAGTGCAGATTGAAGACTTTCAGTACTGGTGTCAAGTAACTTAAAATTGTTATGACATCATCTTCATAGTTCTTAGTAAATGTACTTATGGTTAGGTGTAATGACTAGATTAACTTCTAAATTGGATTGGGGTCTTCCAAAAGGTCTATGTAACTCTTCTGCTTCCCAGGCTATTCAGTCTACCAGACTAACTTTTTTTTCCCCCTTTCAGAAATTATACTTTCTCATCCGTGGTTCTTGTTTAAACTGTTGCTTGCTGACATGCACCCGAGCAGTGGTTCACTTACTACTAAGCCAGCTGAAGGTCCTGGAGAGAGGGTTGCTTCATGCCGTTTATGATCTTGAAGCTGTCCTGAATAGGGTAGGTAATTCCCCCATTTTGAGTCAGCAGCAGTAGAATGGCACAAGGGTGCTGATTTCCTCTCTTCTGTCATTCAGTTTTTAGATGAAAATGCAGATGCAACTGGTCCAGAGATTGAAGAAGAATTAAGCCGCCACGTGAATGAAATGCTACAAAACAACCAGCTAGGAGATCAGTGTTCAAATGTGAGTAGAAGTGCTGTTTCTCTGAGTCTTGGATTTGCCAGATGTGTTTTTAAGGTTACTAGAAGAAACTGGGTCATGGGCTGCTTATTTTTCTGATTTTTGTCAAATTCTGCTGTATTGAAAAAAGGAAGAGACTTTTTTTTTTTCTGAGCCAGTATTAACCCAGGCACGTTCAACTTATTTGGCCTGTGGGGTTTCTTGCGGCCAGATGATCCACCTCTGGTGGCGGCTTGTTAATGCAGCTTCTAGAGCAGCTTGTGTTGGCATGGCTCGAACCCCGGGGGTGAACAGTACCAGCGCTGCTGGTTTGAGTTGCCAGTGGTGACTGAAGACCCCAAGTTTGGTAGTAGACAGATTGAGCGCGTCCAGACGAGCCCGCACATGCCTCTTGCAGCATCTCAAACTCCTTT